GATATGAATTATATCGCTATAGAAATTAACCTATCACTCATTAAACAAATATATTATCTGAAAAATTCTTGAGCAAGGAAAACTTAAGAAACTATTTGTTGTGAAAAATAAAAAATAAAAAAACATTTGGGGCAAGATTGCCAGCATTGTAAAACATTTAGATGAGAAGAAAAAGAAGAAAAAAATTGAAGCTTTTGTTAAATATGGTTCCTGAACATAATTAGATGTTTCAGTCGAATGACAGTACTGCGCAAGCCACATGTAACTCAATGGATTTGGTCGTGTGATATTTTGTAATGTTGTTGCTGTTGTAGAATTTGGTGTGTTGTAGTGTAAATAATAGGATAACTGGAATGTGTTCCAGATATCTATTATATTGTTTTTATAAGGTGTTGTGTATTGTGATTACTGGAACCCATGCAGGGCACTAGTCACATGCTCTTCCAATCCGATAAGTTGTTGTGTTGTTTTGGTGTATAGAAGTGATACAAATTGTGATTGGTGTTTTATGTGTTGTAGATCATTTGATGGGGTAAGCTGGTTGCGGTTTTTGTGTTGAAACTTGTGAACGAGGACTGGTAACTAGTCAGAAGAATATATGAAATCTAGCACTAGTTATCATCAGCAGAAAACAAAAAAAACTCTAAAAAAAATAAAATGCTGCCTCTTGAAAATAGGATTGTTTTTGAGTTGAAGATGAGGAATGTGATTGTTTTATAGTAGTTATATTTAGAGATAGCCTTCACATAGAAAATTTTCTTTTTATTTGTCTTTTCTGTTCCAAGTTATTGTCCAGTGCCGTTATCAGTCACTAGACCTCTTAGAGCAGGCTCCATTGCTGAAGACCTCTGATATTATATATTGGTATTTTCTATAATATGATAGTTTAATGGTAAGGGTATAGGTTATTGTCCAGTAGGTTGTTCTTGATATATATAGATGCTGACTTATTGGATTGTTTCTTATTGAATCTGGTTTTGTTGCTCATCTGGATTGTTGGATTGGAGAGTTGTGTTTGTTGTGTTATCAATGAGTTGATTAAGTGTGCCTACTATATTTTGAAATATGTTGTCGATGTTTGTCATCCTTGTATTAAGGTTAAGTTGTTGTTTCCTGATATCTAAATTGTTTACTGCTGGGCTTATAGCTTGTCTCTTTTATTGATAATTAAAATCTCTAGGTTCTGGAGTTTCTGACCATGGTGGATTTTGATTTAGGTATTTTTTACCTGCATCAATGGCCACTTTCATTTGTTCTTCATTATCTATTGTATAGAAGTATATAAAGTCTTCGAGGTTGTCAATTCTGGTGTTGAGATCAATAATTGTTTTTTTGATTTGTTTCAGCTCTGCTCCTATTGTTTGGACTGTCTTGAGAACTTCTATTAGCGATAACTGGAGATTGATCATTGCTGCTAAATTCCCTACTGTTAGGTTTGATGATTTGTTAGGGAGTTGTTTGGCTATGTGTGCGAATGATTCTTTGTTGGTAAATCTGCTGGTGGCCTTTTTGAATTGTTTTCGGGTCCTAAGCTGATCTTGATTTTCTGCCTTGTTAGTTTGCTAGTTTGCAATTTTTTTGATTTGTGTTGTTTCTTCTGATTTGAAATGTTGATAAAGTATCTTGTATCTTTTTGTTTTTTCTTTGAGTACTTGTTGTTTTTCCTGATGCTTGACCTTGATTATACATTGTGCAACCAGGTGGTCTGGTGAATTACAAATTGCATATAGTTTCTCATTTATCTCATGCCATTGTAAAAGTGTTTCACCTAAATATGTCTCTTTGTTTTTGACTTTTTCTTTCTCTTTTAATGTCACAAAGTTGAGGATAGTGAATCGTTTTCTTGTGTAGTTTCGATTCTGGGGATATGGCATTACACTGTCTTAATATTGTTAATTATTTTGCACAAGTCATATCTAGTGGTACCTGGTAAGAGATTTGTGAGTCTAACGATGTATCTATCTTGAATTAGCTTGGTTTCATGGGTTTTAAGAAGTATGTATATTCTTAAAAGTTCTCCTTTAAAGAGAATATTCTATCTTTCCATGATTTTGTTATAGTCTTCTTGTTCTTCAAATTCAGTTAATACACTTTGCCACATGCCTATAATACTCATTTTTAGGTTGCAAATTTGCTCGAATTAAGTCAGTTTCTGTTTTATTTCTTGTTAGTTAGTGTCCAAAGGAATATCCCAAATGCAAATAAATTGCTTTTGATTGCAGCCAGATCAAACTCAGCTAGAATTGTCATGTAGTAATTGTTGCCTTGCTGGATTGTCATTTTATATGCTTTTTGTGCATTCTTTAGATTGGCAAAAGTAAGGCTCCTAACGATACTACTTCGAGATTACTTCAATATCAGTTCGATACTTAAATTTACTATAAAAATATATGAGTAGGTCACAACTCATATATTAAATTTATTATAGATTGGTACCATTTCGATACCAGTTCGATACCAGTTTGGTACTTTTTCAGAACTCTAGACAAAAGAGACGATAATCAATTTCATCCTGTTGCTGCACCATCCAGATCCTTGTGTAGGAGTTTAAGTAAATGACTGTTTTTTTGACTATCTTGAGTTTTTGTTCCATGAAGCCTGTTATATGTTTCGTCTGAATAGCTGTTTTGTAGCAAAAACAGCTATATTGAGTGCGCCAATCTGTAGGTGGGCCTAGCAGCTGTCTAAATTGTCTGGGTGGCTTGGCATTGTTGGATGGGATCTTTTCCATTTTATTCTCTAGTTCTTTAGACATGTTTTCATCATCTGACTTGCCAAAGATTAACAGGATGTACACCTGTTGAGACTTTTCTATATCCATATGGATGTCTTCTGCCCAAGTGAAGGCAACGTCCACTCCTTCTTTTGAGATTTCTAACCAGCCAGATGTCTTGCTTCCATCCACTTCGGGCATGATTGACTGTTGTTTTTTCTTTTGTTACTGTTGCATTTAGGTGCCTGATATAGTGGATAGTTGGAGACAGGCAGGCCTATGCTTCTGGGGCCATTGGGATTATATGCTGCCATAGTGGGTGGGCCTTTTGAGCTAACTCTCAGCTGTTTACTCGGATTTTAGATGAATCTGAATAAACAGAAAAAAGTTTTTTTTTTTTTTTATAATAGTATCTTGATAATATAATACAGTTCTGGCAAAAAAAAGTAGCACTCTTGATTTTTTTAAAAATTAAGTAATTAGATCGCAAATCCCATTACACTAATGACAAATTTAGTTAATAACCGATTATTTTAAAGTCAAAAAAAAAAATTTGTGCTACTTAATATGACATATGGTTACTTTGGTGGAGAAATGTCTTGTCATTAAGTCTTTGTGAAAGCAAGAACATAAAAAAGTCAGCAAACTCCAAAAAATAACCCAATATCCAAGAAGAACACTATTTAGATGGGCTGCTTAACTTGTATAAACAGGTGATCTCAAGCAAAGGCAACGTCCAGGCCACCCGCGTTGACTTAATGCAGCACAACGGAAGCATCTTGGCCTAATAGCCACAAGAAAAAACCAGACGACAAGCTTAGAACTAACAGAAGTACTCAAAAAAACTTACCTGGACCTTACTATTTCTCCACGCACGGTACGTGATAACCTTCAAAAACTTGGTTTTAAAGTCTGTATTCCCCGTACAATTTCTTTTTTAACAAAAGCTATGAAGCTTCATCGGCTTGAGTGGGCCAAATCACACTTGAGAAGACGATGGAATAATACCATTTTTTCGGACGAGGCAACGTTCCAGATGTTTCATAACACAATGCAGGTTTGATACAAGTCTGGAAGACCACTACCAAGTCACGGATTGGTTAAGTATCCTTATAAAGTTCACGTCTAGGCGGCTTTTTGTGCAAGTGATACGATAGGGCTTTATACCTTTACAGAAAAGATGGATGGCGAGCGATATTGTAACATTTTACAAGAAAATTTGTTCGAACAAGCATATAACAAGCTCGGCAGTGTGTGGACCTTCCAACAAGATAATGATCCAAAGCACACTGCTAAGCTTTCGATCACTCTTCTTCACAAACGATGCACGTGGGTTCTCGATTGGCCGTCATCGTTATCAGATCTAAATCCGATTGAGAATTTATGGGCAATAATGAAAAAAAAAGTGAAAAAGGAAGTAAGTATGCTTATTAGAGAAAAAAAAAAAGTGACACAGCAAATGTTTATATCTATAATCGCGCAGGAATGGCAAAAAATTGATGTCACTATATGTCAAAATTTAGCAAAATCTATGAAGCGACGGTTAGAGTTAGTCATACAAAGCAAGGGCAACACAATTGATTATTAAAAATGATACACTTTATAAGTTATATTTTTAGCTAGTTGTAATTAAAATTTTATTAAATTTTAATAAAAATTGATCAAATTATGATTAAATATATAAGTGCCATTTTTTTTTGCCGGAACTGTATATATTATATTTGAATAGTCAATTAAATTTTATAATTATTAATTAATCTATTTTTTTTTTGATGCAAATCAAATTGATTAATCAATCACGAAAATTATTTTAATAATTTAATTTATAAAAAATCTATCTTTTCGAAAACATGATATGCAATATATTAACCATTATATATCTGTTTACGATTTTTAAATATTTTATTTATGATTTTGATTAAAATACAGTATATTATTTATTGATTTTATGGAAAAATTTAATAGTCAAGCTACTGTACATGCGCATATACAGTATAAATTTTAAGAAACAACTCTTGTAATTATTTTTGCTTATTAAGTATGGTACAATGGACAGTATTCGCTTAGCATGTGATCTAGACATAACATAGAAATGGAATAATAATAGGTTGTACTACATCAAGTTCATTATGCACATAAAAAAAACAGATAGTAACTTTCATCCATTTTCTTCTTAAAAAAAACAAACACGTGCAACGCCTAATTCTTTGATCTCTTGGGACCTCGACGGAACCTGGAATAGTATTTGATTTGTATAGTATCCCGCAAACCGTAAAGAATTCAAAGGATGTCAACCTCGCCCATTCACAATTTCACCATAACTTCACCGGTCGTTTCATCCGAAAACACCACCGATCCTGCCACCTTGTCTCCCATCTCCCAACAATCGTCGCTAGCATCTTTAGAGCAATACCTCCGTTGCCCAGTGTGCGGAGACTATTATGACCTACCAATGTCGGCCAAGTGCCAACATACCTTTTGCGCTGGATGCATAAAGAGCAATTTTGAAAATAAGGTTACAGCACTGGAGTGTCCGGTTTGCGGCCATGAGTTCACGTCTTTTGCGCAGTTGTGCAAAAATAGCGTTATTGAAGATTTTGTGAGAGAATACCGAAAATTAAGGTAAAGCATATATTCTGAGTTGACACTGAATCGGTTCAATGTAGATGACGCGAAAAATCGCGTGATTTATTTGTGTCGCGATCGGTCTGATACGTTCGCATTTCGATTTATAGGTTGTCAACTGTTCAATTATACAAATTAGGTCTTCAGGTCGAGAACAGAGTACGTGAAGAAGGTGAACAGAAGTTGGTGATACCACCTGTTGCGGAAATAAATTCACGGATCGATGATGTTTCATCGCAGTCTATAACACAAGAATCAGAATCAGAGGTTCCGAGGAATTCATCAAAATCCACCTTACCTTTGTGTCCTGTGAAAAGGTCGAATTCAATCGATTTAAAGAGAAGCATGTCGAATGATGAGGCGGACGTTCCGGCAAAAAGAATAAAAGGGGAGGATAATGAAATGACTGTCCATGGAAATAAGGGTAACATGTAAGTAGTTCTTCGAGGTTCATTTTCATGAATGAAAAAAGGAACTTTATTGCAACTACCGATTTCTTATGATGTGATGACATTGATGTAGTAATAATAAACCAAAGTCTGTGTATGTTATGCTTAAAGATAAGAAGCTAAAAGAAATGTTAAAGGTATTATGACAATAACTTAATGATCTGTTTTTGCATCATCGTCATAATCGAAGATCTCAAGTGGAATTATGCATCATAATAGGAAGAAGGGCTGCCAGTGACTGGTGGCAGAAGCGATTGGCAAAAACGACATGAATATTTTATACACCTTTGGAATTCAAACGTTGATGCCACTAAACCTAAGACTAAAGAAGAGTTGATAAGAGACGTAAAACAATGGGAAAGGGCGCAACAAAGTGGTGCCGCAAGAACCGCTAGTGATATCAAAAGGGCTCTGAATACGGATGAGGAAATAAAATCTTATGATATCCTTTTGTCCATTGTCGAGATGTTTTCCTGTTTTGTTTTTGATGGTTTGGTATTATTTCTTAATTGATATTTTTATATTTACAGCGGAGGTATCACCATCAATTTGAAGAGTTGATCGAACAAGCTAAAAGGAGCATAAAGAGAAACAAGAAAAATCCTTGAGCGACGAGAAAAGCGATGACGACGTAGTAAATGCTTTGTATGTAGATGCATCGGTTTGAATGTTGGCTCACGAATAATTGTTAAACCAAAGAATCATCAAGTTCTATTTTCTTTCACTTGGTAAGCAAACAGTTCGCAGGAGTGTATTTAGCAAAGAAAAAATATATTTCTTTAATTGATCTAACAGATCAACACTGTCTTTTCTTCAGTGTTCTTTAATATTCTTTTGTTTAGAAACCTGTCGTTTTGCATATAATTCTTCAGCCCAGCATTTTACTTCCGGGTGATTGAATTTTCCCATCGTGGTTTCAAAGAATCTCTCGAGATCTTTATTATCGGCTAATGTGTTTATCACGGTTAAAAAGTAGACTGGTTCAAAAGTCTTTGATCCATGTAGAAACCATGTACTTACATTGTTCGTACTCATAGGCTTGAAGAATCATTTCAAATTTGTCAATATCTTTAACAAACTTTGCTTCGTTCGTCGTGGCATCTTCATACTCTTGCCAAAGCGCAAAAATTTCTTGAGATTGCGAAGAGTTTTCGAGTAAATTGGAACACAGATGTCTCATTGCTTCCTGTATCAAATTTCAAATCAATCTTAGAAACTGAACAACTGGATGATCTTGAGACTAAAAATTTTCTTATGTAATTACTGATTCTCTACGATTCTTTTCTATTTTACTGATTCCTTCAAGTGGCGTGATATCTCCCTGAATAAAATTAGATACGCTAAGGATGAGAGATAACGCAAAAAAATGAAGGGCATAGAATCGAATGCGTACAACCAAACTTTCAGCCAAATCGTGAACAACCGACATCTTGATACACCTGAAAAACGTTTTCACATTTAGTAAAAGCTGCACGTATGTCACAACAGAAGGATTGGTACCTCAGAAAATACATGCTTATCTTTATCCAGTGTTGAATCTTTAACCAGTAACGATAGTATGGACATACGATGCATATGATCGGATATCGATTCCGGATTTTTTATATTATTATCTATCCATCCGGTGCGTTTCGTTGTCTGATTTGGCGGAGACGTCAGTAAAATTTATGTCACAAATAAAATTGAGTGCGAGCAAATAAATACCTTTAATCTTTCACAAATATGAAGAAATTCAAGAAGTTTTGTGATGCTTGGATCACTGTTTTCAATTTTATTTTCCATGGATTTTTTTGTCGAAAAGAGGATGTAGAATCTCGATCATTTTTATAAGAAAAATTGGGATCTAATACTTGTGCAACATGTACGTTTATTTTCATGTATGTTATATCCACATCGTTATTGTTTTTCAAATGAATAATTGTACACATGAATCATCGATTCTATTCAAACCCAATAATTTATGATAAGCTTCCATACTCTTGGTTCCATCTTTGGTATAATTCCAGGTCTCGATCGCTTACGCTTGCACGTACTGTAAAATTTAGCCGTTCGTTCGTCAATTGGTTAGAATTAAGTGAAAACATAAATAGATTACATCAAACCTTGAGTTAGTGCGTCTAAAAAGTCTTGATAATTAATTGATCTTACGTCATCGGCTGTTCATGTTTAAGGGAACGTGATTATCAAGATGATGGGATTTAGAATATGTGGTACCATCACCAACCTGCAATATTTCTAATATCTCCGATAACACGTATCGGTCCCAAAGCAGCTTCTAAAAGCGCAATTTGGAAACGAGGATTGTTAGATCAGGAGAGTTTTCATTTTATTTCGATTCATTTCATTGTTTACCTCGACAAAGTCCATCCATATCCGAACCAGAATATCCTTATAAATGGTGGTTAAACCTTGGAACGTGGCAATGGGTGTATTACGCAATCACCTTACCTGCTGTCCTTTTGCAAATATTACGAATTTCCTCGTCTGTCAGCGAATATTTTTGTGTCTTTAACAAATTCTTGATGATTCCGTATCTACCGTCCTCTTCTGGGAGAGGAATATAGAGTCTTTTACGGAATCGACGTCCTTAATTAGAAATGTGTGTGTGATGTGAGTACCTCTAGTCAAATTGGGTTGATGATCTTCAAGATGGTAATTTTTGAAATTTGCTCACGTGCTGCTTCATCAATCTCTTGTGGTCTTAAATTTGTTCACATTCGTGCGAGACAATGTATCAATGGATGTGAATTAGTGATCTTAACAAATTTTTGTTCATTCATCTACCTGTTTGTCGCTCCCACAACCAATATTCGATCCTCTTCTATACTGGCAGTTTTTACACCATCCTAGTTTTTTTTATTGAATGTTTAATTAACGAAACAACAAAAACAATAGTGATCTCTGTTAAAACCCACAAATTGAACCAAGAATTCCGTCTTGATCCGTCTCGAGGCTTCGAATTCACCATCTGTTCTCTGAGTCAA